GTTTCATGCTCTTTTAGGTAATCTTGAACCAATGCTCTCATTCCTCCCTTGCCAAAATTGGTTTAAAGAAGATCTTCTCTATTTTTCAATGCTATCTTCCCATCTTTCCAGCAAATAATTTCCTGCCGTATCATATTATTAAATTCATTGCAATCCTTTCTAGTGTGTAAAGCATCATCACACCAAATGCATCTTTGTACATATCCTTGTTTTGAAACATTCTTCGAATTGTTTATAGAAGTATTCTCTTCAAGTCTTGCCAATTTGATTTGAAGATCTCACATTCCTCGTATAATTTCTTCCATATCCATATCTGCTTTCTTTGACAAGGATGTCGAAGGTTGAACTGTAGGCATTGTTGGTGGTGTTGTACGTACTGGAGCTTTGGGTGCTTGTACTGTTTTCGAAATATTGCTCCTATCCTTCCTCCTTTCTCTTTTTGTAAGCAACCCCACCGCATCTTCAACGTTCTTCCACTTCGTTGTCAATCCTTCATCTTCTTCTTTGTCTTCAAGAAGGGGTTCTAATTTCTCTTGCAATTCTCCATCAGCAGCTTGAAGAAATAGATCAACTTTGTTCGGCTCCAATGTCAATTTTTCGACCTTCGATAATTGAGAGTACTGCCTCTCAAATTCCCTTAGTAGCTCTGTTGCTTGCAAATTCTTATTGGGCAGTTCAATTCATCCCAGAAACAGCTTCTTAATAACGCGATCAGCATCTTCCAAGAAATATTCGTCTTTCAATGCATGTGAAAAATCCTCCCATGAATTCCCATAACGATCCGTAATCGATGTAATGTGGTCTCTTATCTCCGGTATCGTGGCAAGTCCAAATAGTGCAACCATTTTCTTCTCAGAAACGCGATTTAATTCCATTTCACGAACATAACATCTTAAATACCTTGAAATATTCCTCCCATCAAATTGATCAATTTTATTGACCACTGCTTGCAATGCTTTGGTTGCCAAAGCTTCCTTTCGATCATTGCTTTGCTGTTGCTGCATTGACAATGAGAAGGCTTGAAACATACTAGCAATAGACGGATCCATGTGCATACCTTGTCCTTTAGAAGACTCTCCACCAGAAACTCCTCCCAAAAATCCTTCAAAATTTTTATTTTCGTTTTCCATAAAAATAAAGATAAAATCAACCGAAATCCAATACCTTCCACCTCAAGCTTTCACGTCGAATTCACCACTTTTTGTCGTATTATGTGCTTTCTTGCTCGAGAACGCGCCGGGCGTCTGGTTGTAGAAGGTAGTATGGAGATTCGCCAATAGTCAAGCAATCTATCAGTTTTGACTGCTGGAATATAAACGACTGCAACAATGTACCGTAAATCTATACGGATGCTCTTCGACTGCTTGTCGAAGTCCTTTTTGCCCCAGCCGGTAGGTCTCTAGACGTTACAGAGAACCCCGAACAACCCAAACTGTTAATCTTCAATACCGCTTTGTACTTACGATCTTGTATCCACTGACTGTCTTGTTAGATTAACTCAATAAATTTCATTCACTCCGCATACTCAATCCTATAGACATCCTTTTAATCCTTCAATCACAAACGTGACTCGATTTCACAAAACAGTCAAGAGTATTCAAACCCACTTCATTAAAAATCCTGATTCACCATTACAATACTGACTTCAGCAACGATTGCCTCAGTCTTCCCAAAACTCTACGAAGAAGAAAAACCCAAATTCTATGTCTTTCCTTCACTGACCTGAAGCATGAAGCTCCCCTATCTAATCCCCTTGATCTTCAAAAACCTCCAATGAAAAACCGAACTAGTAACCTTGCAAAAGCTTGAAAACTAACTCCCTCCGATTCCCAGAAAAAAAAAAAAAACCCTCTTCAAAACTATATCCCCCCTAATCTTATCCTCTGAATTTCTTCAATCTTCCGTCTTAAATCTGGAATTGGCTCCCATCGTCAAGCTTGGATCCAAAATTGGCTCTCACCGTCAGAGCTTTCTCCTCTGTTTTTACCTTTAAGAAATCCATTTACCAAAAACAACGTTCCCTGAAACGGCACAGAGAACAGGACAGCCTGAAATAGAATCGAACCCCGTAATCGGGACCACATTGAGTCGCCCGACCAATTCAGGTCTCATATTGGGAAAGATGCCCGAAGTAACCTGGATGTTCCCGTAATTAGACTGCATTGGGTTGACCGGCCAATTCAGGTCTCATATTGGATAAGAGAACCCGGATTGGATTCTCGAAATTGGATCCAATTGGCTCTTCGAACCCGTCGTGTGAATTAGCCCTTCTCTTCCTGCTGACTCCCGTTATTGGAATCGAATGGAGCATTTTAGTATGCCCCGGCTGACTGTAACAGAGCGACTGAACCTGATCACTCAGTATTTGCACTGGAGTTGGTCGATGCTCCCAATATTCGAGGTAACTGAATATTAATAAAATTCCCTTTTCTTTTTATTTTCACTGTATACTCGTGTTACAACACGACACCGTAATTCTTATCATAAAGATCAGAGCTTGGTCTCTGCTACTCTTTCTTGTTCACTTTCTCCGAATGTGGCCATAAACACTTTTAGGAATGAATTCAAATCATAAAGAGGTCCCGAATCTTTTTTCATTAAAAATACAAACCAAGAGAGAGCACTTCTTGATAGAAATGTACCTATGAATCCAACTTGAGTAAATCCATCGGAGTATTGGAAAAGATGCAACCTTAGATAGAGCTTGAATTGTTGCAAAAATCCTCAAAATTTTGATCTTGTTTCATCAAACTTCTCAAGCATACTAATCCTTGTCCTCATCATACTTGTAGAATCAAAACTCCTTGATTTTGGTTGCAATGTCGATCTACTTGCTTCCTTCAAGTGCACAACTTCTTGTCGCATATTCTGAACTTCTATTATAGGCGTAGATATAGTACCTCCATGATTTACGTGAGAAATACATGAGATTTCCACCCTTAGAGTGTTGACAAGCTCATAAAGATCTGTAATAGTTCCAAATCTATCCTCACTTTTCCTAGGAGTAGCATCCATAATCTTTCCTTCCATAGATAATTCAAATAATCTCAAAAAGTTAAATTAGAGGAGGATAATCCGCAACCTCTAATAAAAATTTCTACAAAGAAGGATAATACACTCTCTTTAAGAAAAAGATGAATGTTAGAAAATAAGATTTTTTGTTTAAAGGTGGATAGTCTGCAATCTTCAATACACAACAATAGAAGTGGAGTAATCCACTCACTTCTAATACAAACAAAAATAATATGTTAGTACTCTTGTCAAACTCTCAAGGACATAAATCTCAAAGAAAGAAAATCTTCAATACACTCTTGTGTCACTAAAGAGAACTATAAAGTCACTCAAAAGATGATATAATATTGAACTAGAATGGCTATTGCCAAAAACAAGAAGACTAGAAAGTCTTGAAACAAGACTAAGGAAAAAAAAGGCGTTGACAAGAGTGAAGAAGGCTTAACTCTTGTCTCCATATATACTCTCTATCTAAGAGCTACATGGTGATATTCTATAGGACCTCCAACATGTGTTGACTTTGTTAGCCACATGTCTTAACTTGCAAGGCAAGTTATCTATGTATGTGCCACGTAGTTAGCTTGTTCTACAAACTACTATATGGAGTTAACTTATTTCACAAGCTACCAATATGTGGTTAACTTGTTGGCCAAGTTTCTAACCTATAAACACATCTAAAGTCAAAACCGTGTCTATAGAGCTTCTAGGAAGCTTCTCTAGAAGACTTTATGAAATTAATCTATATTTATCTACTTCTACTTAATCATATAAGTAACTATTGGAATAAATGTATATATTTGTGATATATATATAGAGATAAGATTACAACCTTCTTCATTCTTCTCAATAACTTTTTTGCTTCTAGTTAAATTTCAAGAGTCTTTTGTTTTCTTGTATTTGGCAATAGCTATTTGAAGTAAATTCTTAAATATATCTATTTTTATTTTTACTCTATCATCTCTCTTTGATATATATTTACATTGTTTATTTACATTTTTTGATTTCTTACTTTTAATAAATTATCATAAGAAAGTATTATTTCAAGACATAAGTGTGTACATTAATACTTTCTTTAGTTTTTTTTTTTTTTTTTTTTTTTTTTTTTTTTTTTTATATTATTGTCTACAAATTTTAAAAACAAAGCTAATAGAATATTAATTTAGATTTTTTTCTTGTATCTTAATCTTTAGAATTTGTATCTATGGAATTAAGTATGATATTCAAGATTTAAATACTATGAGAAAGATATTAAGTTTGTTATTATACTACTTTTCAAAAACTATAATTGTGAATATAAAATTTAGAAAGAATTAAAAGGATTCCATTTTATTTTTTCAAATCATCATTATCAATGTAATTTTAGTACAAGTACAAATTAATCATTTCATATAAGGCATAATTAAAATCCTCCAATTGGTAGCAAAATTATCATTAGTAGCAATTGTTTTGCAATTTCCATATTGCAATATTATGTAGAATATAAATGATTTTTAGATATTAATAATAAAGGATAAATTCTTATCTAATGATAATCCATTAAAAAATCCAAATATCTATTAATAGAACATAAACCCCTTATATCTTGTATCTTCATCCTAATACTCTTTTCATATTATTTATATCCTTCATGTGCAAATATTTTGTATAAATTGACATGTATTTCACATTCTTTCTTTAGAATAGAATAATTCCATCCCAATACTTAGAAGTTTCTCATGATATATCAATTCGGAAATTCAAGTGTTGTCAAACAACTTTTGCCAAAGACTATTTTGGCACTGTAAGACTGTATCCTTGTCCCGATTTCATTCTCCTTGGACGATGAACATGACATCGGAATCCAGTTTCAATCAGTAGTATTAACTCCAATAAAACACCATCCACAAGTCGGCCAAGAAGATTGGACATCCCAATACCTCCAAACAAGGCATTCACCAAATCAACGCAAGAGATTAGTTGGCATGGTGAACAAGTTGCTCGGACACTCTGCAGTGGGTCCCTTCATCCTCCGATTACCACTGTTCCTTCCCAGTTGCTGTTCCGATAGCGTCTCCGTCTTTGCAATGAGGGAGACTCCTATCGATGGATACGACTTCGAGAACTAGGGCTTCAGGATTGCTTGCAAGAACGGTGAACCAGGCAGTCATGCGACCACGGACGTAGAGGTTGATGTTGAAGTGGTGAGAAGTGAATGCCCGGACCTGATTCCAACCTGGTGGTAGGAACTTTACCTCAGCGCACTGAAGCGGTGTCGGCAGGAGTTGGAAGAGGGCGTCACACGATTGTTGCATCTACCAGGTCAGCACACTAAGCTGCATACCCCATCACTGTGCTTGTTGATTCCTTGTTCTCTTGAAAATCTGTTATGCTTTTAGCTGGAAGGAAGTGGTAGCTTCTTCACACAATTGCATTTGATAACAGGAGTGAAATCTGTGTGATGTCCTCACTACTCCGGGTAGAGTTGCTGTCGTCGCTAGCTATGTTACCTCGATTGTTTGCATCATCATGCAATACACGGCTGCAACAGTGGCAGGGTTTGATTGGCTGTGACTTGTGCGTCTAAATCCTAGAGCCCTTGCTGGACACAAATTGGGATGTGTACATGTTTGGGCCGAGCCACAAGAGATTGGATCGTTTGAATATAGTTCATGATTGATCATCGAGTGCGCTGAAGGTGGATTCGGCTTTCACACGTCTCAAGTGTGGTATTTCAGTGCGATTTGTTTAAGATTTGTACTCACTGTGGCAGCTCAAGAAGTGCTTCGGTTTGCAGTAATTTGAGAAGAGGACGGAGGTGTATCCAAATTACAGTAACAGCGGCAATCGATTCCGTGATGGACGATCCCATGATTCTGGAGAGCCGTCTCCCATATCCAGAGACGCTGGACAAATCGGTTATGGCAGCGCGAGCTCGGGAGATGCAGAAAGAGCGGCCAGAAAGTGCCGTCGACGAGAATGGTATTGACGCAGCTTCTGGTCACAAGGATGTGACAGAAAGAGGTAAAGCTGGTTGAAACAATGTTGCATGTCGAGCAGGTGTAAGGGATAATGGACGAGGCTGTCGTGAGAGAGCGCTTCTCAGCATTGTAGACAAGCTAGAAATGTGGTCCATGAGGCTATGAGCAAGCACAAGGCAGGATAGCTAGTGTAGTGGCACCCTGTTTGGTTGTAAATGTGCCTTGTTATTATTGCACATGGAGACTTGCTCATAATCTTGCTTTTATGCATCGAGCATGAAGATTCTGGTTTTGTGCTGGCATGTAGAGGTTGTCGTTATACTGCGAGATAGAAAATCCTGTGTTTGAATGGATTTCATGTTGTAGATCTTGCATCGCCAAGTGTGTCGTGGAGATAACGTGTTGGAGTGCAATTTTGATTGCGAATGTCTCTGAGTAGGTGCGATGGAGGCCACAGCAGTGGATCAATGTCACTCCGCCGGTCACGATGCCACCAGGAAGCTTAGGGGCATCTCCAAATCTCAACATGCTCAAAAGCCAGGGCCTGTTACCGTTACAAATCTGCAAAGGAGACGTCAGGTCATTCAGGTGCAAAACGAAGGATGTGATGACGATTCTTCTACGGAGTTTGCAACTAGAGGGATTAATGAGGAAGCGAAAGGGAAAGCTGAGGGCCCGAAGAGACGCAGGGGAGATCCAGCTGGAGAGGTTGATTGGGTAGCAAATGGGAAAACCAGGGGCGAGAAACGACGGAAGAAACGTTCACCGAATTGGACTGATGAGGAAACGCAGAAGTTGGCGAAAGGTAAGATTGAGTTTGACGAGCGTAATGGCAATAAAGCATCATGGAAGGTCATAAAGAAAAACGTGCGAGGGAGGACAGAGGACGAGTGTCGAATGAGGTGGGATACGCTTATAAAAACGTACAAGGCGTAAGGACAAGAAGAAGGAGTTCGGGCAGCTGACGGAAGAGGAGATCAAAGGCAAGAAGCTGGCAACCCACTGGGACGAAAGTTGGCTCAGTCTTGTACACGAGTATTGTCAAACCAGATCAAATAAGAAGATGACAAACCGAGGAGGTGGAAATCCAATGGAGAACAAGGATACTTTTGTTTCAGGTTCCTCATCGACTGGTAATACATCTACCCAGCCTTGTCATTTTGCGGGACATACATGTGCGTCTTTTTCTTCAATATCTGTACCGATGCCTGATAGGCTGTTGTTCCTTGTATTACCGAAGCACGGCGTCGACTTTCAGGTGGTGAACCACCTCGTAACCCAGTTGCACCTGCGCTGTCGAAAGGATCCTTGGGTGGGCATGGTCCTCTGAGTGATGAATTCTACAACCCACAGTATGATTCAGAGGCTGCAAAAGCAGTAATAACACCCGATGAAGCCAAGCAGAGTGCTTTTGCAGAAGTGTTATGTTTCCTATCCAATGGTATGGTAATGAAGGTGATGTTGGTCGTAGTTGTAAGGATAAATTCATGTTAAGGCATAAAGCCACAAGAATATACGCATCCTTCAAAGTTGAAGCGCTGATGACGAATGAATTTGAATGATGAGACTGTGTTGATTGTTACGTTGTTTGGTCGACTTCATTGAGGGAGAGGGCTTTGTGCAAAAACGATCTCAATTTTTTTCAGTCCTGGTTTCGTAGCAACTCTTCGTCTTATTCTATATACCTTGCACCTTATTTTGGCTGGTGACATTTGGGGATGAATGTTGTTGGCCTGAAGCTTGTGTATGGTGCGAAGTTGTTTGAGGTAGGGGTTGGAACCTGTGATGGGCGTGTGTATTTTTTACTTTACCTCAGTGTGTGGGAAGTGCATACCAGAGCATGAGGGCAGTTTTCTGTAGTTGGTTTTTGGATTGTTCGTGATGATTGGTTTCAGAGCTTGGCGTGGAGAGTTGGTTGTTCGTTCCTTTTTTGTGTAAATTTGGTCTTTTTCTCCCTCTTCTTTTAGGTTTTTTTTTTTAATTAATTAATTTATTTTTGTTTTTGTTCTGTTTGGTACCCTTTTATTTATTTTTTCTGATTTCCTTGTTCCCAAGAGACTTCTCTCAGTTCTTTTCATTTCCTCCCTGCATTGGCTTGATTCCATCCTCTCTCTCTCCTTCGCTTCTTTCTGTTTTCCCCTATTACTCTGGGTTGTCCAACTGTTCATGCGGAAACGGAAGCGGAATTGGGAGCGATATGCAAGGACGGGGTCTAGCAAAAGCAAATTCTCATTTCAAGTGGAGCAACGAGATGGAGCTGACTTCGATGTTACAAGCAAGAATGAAGGTACAATTCGGGAAACTGTCAGCCTTGTGGCTGAATAGTAGACCAGCTTAAGATACGTGGGTCATGTTGTAAACGTAAGAGCATCGCCAGCAGTAGAGGATTTTGGTGATTACAGGTTGTTGTTGGTGTAGATTGTGGCCAAATTGGATGATTTGTGAAGTCTGATTTGTGAAGTCTGATGTGTTTATTTTTAACTTGTTTGTTTTTTATTCTCCGTTTACTGTCTATCTTCTCCTCTGGCACGAATGAAAGAGCAGTTCAAGTGCAATGAGGGTCGACGGTTTTGGAAGCCCGTGGCTAATGTGAATGAGGAATTAGTGACGAAGTTGGTGTAATTTGTGTGTACAGGAGCTTCGTGACGTGTAGGGACCACGAGAAATGGTCTTACTGGTGTCTATTGAGGGTTGGGCTAATGTTGCCCTTCCAGCTGGAGATATGCCGACAGCACTACTTTTTTTTTTTTTTTTTTTTTTTTTTTCCCAAAGGCACACGAATCTGTGGAGCTCACCGTCACGCACTATGACTAACTTACTTTAGAAATGTATCGACTATACGCTTTCTGACACGTGGAGCTAATCTATGATTCCCAGGGCCGTGTTTCTCGAGCTCCGCAAGACCTGTATTCTGGCATGGGGCCAGTACATGGCACGCTTCCTTCGGCGGTGGTGGAGCCCAGTTCCTCTACGTCAACATATCATCTCCTCCGCTCGGGTTCACCGGATGGAGCTTCAGGTCCTGGGGAGCGATATGAATGCCCAAGCGACTGGGTGCCAAGTTCACATGACCCGACTGCAGCAGTCCACACGTCCCTAGTGCCTCACACAGATGTCGACGATCTTGCACTCCCATTTCCTGAAGAGTTCTGCTTCGATTTCGATGTGGAGGACGTATATTCAGCTTATGGACTCTTATAAAATACTAAATGATTTAATATTCTCTGTTGCAAGAACTATATTCGAAGATTTATCCGCTAGCATGCTCCGTCTTGTAGGCGAAAGTCTTTCGGTCTTATTCTCAAATTGCAAAATGCAATGAATGTGAAAGAAGATCTTGCACTTGAAACAAGCTTATAATGATTACATTACTACTAAGAATCTCAAGTTGGTTGAATTGATACTCTAATTGTGATTATTTATTACACGCAACTTATCTCCTGAATAAAAGATTTAAATAATATCTTAATTAACTTAATTACACAAAGCATAAAATTTACCTAGCATAAAATATACAACAAAATTAGTTTTACGATGATAACATGCCTTGTAAATATCTTGAATTGGTAAGAATTTGCTTGAGGTTGTAAAGTGTGTCTTTGGTGGATGTGAACAACAAGATAGATAGATTCTCCCCAACTTTGTTAATCTTGTGAAATAATAAAATTTCCAAACATAATTAATATTACACCTAGGGTAAACCAAAATATAAATTTTATTTTAAACAGTAATGTTTCTATGTTTTAAAAGCATCAAATTGAACATATTGCATCAAATTTTACTCAAAATAAAAACATAGGTATTATTATTATTACAACAAACTATAGTTTTGCAATAATTCATATCCCTTGTATATAAAATTTAAATTTTATTCTATAATGTTGTTTAAAAAGTAATTTTAAATTCTAAATAATGTAAAGCATGTAACAATGTTTTCAAAAATATTCTCAAATTAAAAAAACATATTTTTGCAATCAAACATATATTTATATTTTAATTAAAAAATATCTATTACTTGAGATCTGTGGTTGGAATATATTTTACTTACAAAAAGCAAGTTTTGTACATGTTTTAAATTTTTTCTGAACAATAACCAATACTACCCAAAATTAAACTTTTTTTATACAAATACTTATTATTAGTATTACTTTTACACGCCAATTATTTTTATCGTTTTAGTGAAAAATTCATCTTTTAGAAATTTTATTCTTTTAAACAACACAAGATACTGTTATTTAATTTTCTTTAGAATTTTCACCTTTTCACAATTATTTTCCAAATTCAAGTTTCTGTATTTTCGTTAAGATATTACTTCCAGTTTAGTATGCTTTTTTATTTTATTTTTAAAAGGTTATAATTAGGGCTAACCCCAATCTCGGTGGCACCGGCACCCACCACCAAGCCTGCGGTCCGCCCAACGGTAGGGTGGAATGGATTCAGGCTCGGCCCAGGCCCAACCCGAGCCTAAGGCCATTCCCCTTCACACTATGAAGACAGCAAATAATACTAAATTGGTTCTCAAAGATAAGAACTTTGCTTTTGGGTCCATGTACACTTGATAGTCACTCTTGTCCATTGATACTCATATGATGTTTCTTTATGACATGTTAGGATTCTTGTAAATCAGGGGTGCAGACGGGGAAATTGATCCATGATCCACTTACAACCAAACGTCAACCATGACTACCGACTAGCAGATTGTTTGTACAGAACCACCAGTAAATGTACCAAAACGGGAACTGCCTGTGAACTCTCGTTGCATCAAATATTTTCTCATTTTACAATTCACGAGTCCTGCAACTCTCACGACTATGCACTACCGTCCACACAGATCTCAGCAGACCCAACTCCCATTGATGATAAAGACAGGTAAAACGTGTGAAATCCCCTCTTTAGAGACCAGAAAACCCTATCTGCGTCTGCCAGTCAATTTATTCTGCTATGGCTCCCTCTGGTCGCGAACAAAGAGCACTTGACATTGCCAAATGTCGTCATTTTCGGTAGACCTTGGGGTCATGTCCAGAGCGTAAGGTACAGCAAGAGACGCCATCAGTTTCATGCCATTTAACCCAATGAGAAAAAAATATTCTGTGCAAGCCTCTTGGCAATCTTCGAGGGTTCAGGAACTCAATCCGATCTGTGATATCCACTACGAGGACCTCAGAAGCGTGACCAAGTCTGGGTACACTCTCGGATGTTGACGCAATACCGCGCCACACGCGATACGAGTGGCAGGGAGAATCCCCTACGATGATGGAGTTCAGGTCGCTGCTGAAGAAATTCACAAAGTCTTTAGCTTTTTCCTGCTAGTGATGAGAGCTACCAGTTTTCGTAAATTGGTGGAAAATCGCGATGCTGGTTGCAGGACCCCGTCCTCTCTCACAGTGCGCAGGCGCAGGGAATTCAACAGAGAGCCAAAATAGAGAGCCAAAGCGGTCATAGTGAAAGTGATGACATTGTAGGGCATGCTAAAGTCCGGCGTTGCAAGCAGCACAAGAAGATTATCAGAATAGACCTGTACTTCAAGCTGATTAGGAACCGCTCCACGCTTGGACATCAAATCTGGAGACGGAGAGCTTGCAAAGGTAAAGAGAGCAGACGGCAGGTCGAAGCCGCGGTTAGCGTCAGGAGGATGCTCATCGATGCGTAAGTAGCCCTTGTCGAACTCCACGCTGATGACGAGCGTGCTGGTGTTTCTGGGAACGGTGAGACCGATTTCTACGACAGCTGGGGATTTGCGGTCATCAGCGGGAGACAAGCGCAGCTTCAACCCCTTCTTCAGGGATACTCGCTCCCCATCCACTACTACCTTCAGCGTGTGCATGTACAGTCGAAAATACCATGGCACGATCTGGAATGTGGTGATATCGATCGCAGGGGAAGTGCCATCATCAAGCTCACTTACAGGACACCACTGCGTGTTGCGTTTGGAACCATGACAGGAATCTCCATTTGCGTGCACCAGAGAGACGATCGCCCCTCTTCCATTCCCTCTGCCTGTCAGGAACTGCGTGGCACGAAACGGACCCTGGCGAGGAGACCATGCAATCGGGGCTCTCCAGGACATCCCTACATTCAGTGGGCGACTTTTGCTATGCTTCTGCACATCGTAACTGAGAAGAAGAGATGGAGCAGTTGGCGATGATTCTTTCGAAACACCCTCTGGAGCCAGGTTAAGCTGGAAATACTCATTTGAAACCAAATCGAAATTCAGATCCAAACCATCTCCTCGCCCGTCGGTATTGCGCATACGGTCCTCGTTTTGAGAATCTTGTGAAATTTTCGGCGTCTGATTCTCTGCTCTTTTTAACTCTTCCACGAGACTGGCTTCAAGCTCCATGTGAACATGGCTAGAGATAGCAAGAGGACAAGCTCCAATCAACGGCCTGCCGAACAAGGTAGAAAGAGACCAATTCGGCTGACGAAATTGAAAATCTTCATCGGGAGCCAGGATCCTCCCTCTCGATGCAGGACTTGTTTCTGACGACTTCAACACGACAGTCAGGGTTTGTACCAATCGGAGGGAGCCATGGCCTGCCTTGACGTGCACCCGGAGAGAGTAGTAATTGCCATTGTGTATCCGTGGCCGCTCCAAGAGAGTGGCCAACCCCGCTCTATCCCTGCAAGGTAAAAGCTTCAGCCAGGGCGTCAAATTCTCCGTGCAGACAGTCTCCCTCGGCAATGACCCTTGTCGCACAGCGCCAACGCCGGCCTGGCGCACCCCTCCCCACTCTGACACCATCGCGGGATTCTCCAAGAAATTAATCGAAGCACAGAACAGACCAGACAACGCATGGGTCAGGTTACGCCACAGCACATCGGCCTCTTCGTTGGATTGACGGAACTGCGCCCTAAGTTCCACTCCTCCGGGCTTCACACCTAAGGCCTCCAACCCCTCCAATCCTCCCCACAGCCGGTGATTCCACCTCCCCTGCGTGAAAGACAAATCCATCTCCTGGATGCGAAACTTTTGAACAATCTGATAGATCGCCTTCGGAAACAGCTTACGATGATGACCATTCTCACCCTCTTCCCGAAGGTCATTCACGAACCGAAAATGCCCCAGCGTCTTCCCATCCGGCAACGGCCGCAACATCAAACTCTCTACGAATCCCTCGGATTTCACAACCCCACATGCGCTCTCAACCTGCAACACACCCACAGCAACGAACGCCCACCATAGAAGTCCAAACCACCTCCCATTTCTCCACTCCGCCATAGCTATATCTATCTCCACATAACCTCACTCACTGCTTCCTCAAAACAGCACTATTCAGGGAGAAAAACTCGACGTATCTGCTGCTTCCCAGTTCTTCATCAATCTCGCCACAAAACCCAGCGATCGCTCTAGCTTTATCCAATCTGGGCTCCACCGACGACGATAACAACCACCTCGTCGTCTTCATCATTCGACCTTAAACCCTAAAATCGAAGCTCCCGCCTTGCGACAGTTCGAGGTGAAGAATTGCAGCGACAATTGTGAGAGATGGGTTTGTTCCGCAGCCCTGACAATGGTCGACTGCTTCGTCCGCAATGTACATGATAAAATGTTTTCGATTTATTTTCTGTTTTTTTTTGTTTGAAAAAGTGATTGATTTTTATATTATTTATGATTGTAAATCCGGTAACAGTGCACTCGTTGATTCGTTTGTTTCGTTCTTTTATTTACTTCTCTACTTTCCTTGTATAGTGTCTTTATTAAATTATTGCAGATACTTTGATTGAACTATTTGGTAGATGGTGTTTTGGAGAATTGAACATTCACCAACTCAAAGTATTTCAATTCATTGTGATGTAATGTTGACAACTGTAAACAACTCTACCAAAAAAAAATTATAATGTGACAAGTGTAAATATTATATTGGTGAATATAAAGTGTGCAAAAAAACGAAAAGGAGTAATTAAAATAATTTAAAATGAATTTAAATACAATTGAATTGAAATTAAAGGTAAAACAACAACAATAATAATTTATAGTCTTTTATTACTTTGAAATATTTTAAATTTACACATATTTAATATACAAAACATGCTTGTTAACATGTTATGATCATCATATAATAATACAAATACATTATTCTTACTTTTAGTTCTGAATTCTGTATTCGATTATTAAATAGAACAAAATATATAAGAAAACAAATCATAGGTTTTCTAACGTTCATAATAGTATATCTGCACAAAAATTAAATAAAAACTGTACAATGCCATTAATCGTAACTACACATGGCACTTGCAAATTTATATTTTAGGAAGCACACATTCATGACATATGTAAATATGAATAATTTAACAAACCATTACAGTAAATTACGTTTATTATTATTTCATGACATTATTGTCAATGTCATAACATTGCAAAAATTATTTTCAGATTTATTTTTCTTTTGTTATTTCATTTAATAAGTATACTAATTATTTTGATATCATAAGATTTTTATTGCAAACACTTGGATGAAGAATTAGATAAATATTCATGAATGATAGCATCACAAGCGACCAATACAAAAATGCAAATGAATTTCAAGTAATATTATTCGACTGTTTGATGATAGAATAGATATAGTGCAATATTTCATATAATTTATCTAGTAACTCATTTCAAGATAGATTGAGAGAGGTGTGCAATATATATATATATATATATATATATACATATATGCATGCACATGCGCAGGCACACATACACACAAATTCCTGCTATAAAATTTTGCTAATTCAATCAAATACATCTAGAATGCCTTTCAGAAAACAAACATCCTTAGATAATAATAATAATAATAGTAAAAGAAAAAATAAAAGAAAAAAAAAACACACACACACACACACACAAACACATACTCACAAAAGCTGATAATATATCACAACACACTCTATTATCAGAAAACACTTGGTAAGTCATAACACAATCCACTTGCTCAAATTTCACTTCTTCAAACAGAAACATGACCAACTCACAGCAGTATGTTTGATTTTAGTTCACTCATTAACACATCTGTAAGCCACGTCGGAAACTACCATCCATAAATAAAGACAATAAATGGCCAATTCTTTATGATCCTGGAATATTTTCAGTGGCTTTATGGTCCTTTCCCGGCATACAAACAACTAGGTCAATTCTAACACTCTTAATCTTCAGTGCTAATCTTCATGTTCACTAATCGCTGGATTAAACTTTATCACTCATCCTTATGCACTAACTGGGTGAGGATTAATGAGAGTTAAGCGATGCTTTGCGAGGTAAAACTGCAGAGATTAGGGTGCGAAGATTCAGCTTGCTAATATCAAGGCAGCATTAAGAGGTGAAGTACCTAATGGTTTGCCTGCACCGAGCAAGTGGATACGGAAGTCCACGACCTCACTGTGAGCATGCAATTGCCAGCACCGAATTGCAATGAAAAAATTAGCACTATTTCGATTTGGAAATGGTGAATGTATCAGGCGACGATCTAGCGAGTGTTCTCTAGATGCATAAGCAGGGTTTGCCGTCTGTTGCGCGATTTCTGGCTCTCCGGCACCGTGCTGAGCACTGATACCTGCCAAATGGTGGGACTCGACACGAACTGCCGAATCTTCGAGATGGCGCATGACACTGGTTGTGATAATCGGTGCCATGTGAAGCACGAGTGCGATGCCGGAGGCACTGGGACGATCTCGGTTCCTGATTCTAAGCGGCTGTTGTACCAGTCCCAGGGGCTGGACCTCGGCGCGACCTTGAGATCCGTGTCTATGTTTCCGTGCATCAGCTCAGTGGCCCAGAAGCGCATGTACACCACCATCAGGACCCCTACTAGTGTGATTCCAAGCGAAGTACCCCAGGAATCAAGTACCGCCCACGCACTCACCATGTACGCGACGTAGAACGCTACCAGGCTGAGCACCACAGGAGCGGAGCCCGAGAGGAAGATGGCGCCCCACTCGCCTGCCGTGCCGTAGATGGGGATGAACGCCGCCATTAGGACCACCGCCAACACGGAGGCGTAAAAGGCGAAGGCGTTGAAGAAGAGGAAGACCTTTGGGACGGCGAAGTAAGACGCCACCGCGACGCCGTGCCGGCTCACGTCGTTGCCGCGGATTGGGCTCACGCTCGCCATGTAGGCTACATTCGCAATTAGGGCTGCCACAACGCTGATTAGACTTATGCCCTGGATGTACACCTCCTCCTTGTTAACCGACCGGTCTGATGCTACCAGGTCCGTCACCTGGGTCATGGAGGACGACATTCTAAAACCTTATTCAATGAATGGCCGAATTCGCCTAGGATCACTTAAGTCTAAGTTGCGAGCCAGCTTTGATGAGATTCGAGCGATGGTTTTACCTGGCTGCTCAAGATGAGTTCATTTGTTGGCAATTGCAGCAACAGCACCAAGCGTAGCTTCTTTGAGCTTCCATGTTGCCTCCAAATGAACCTTCCAGCCACTTTTCCTGGAGTCATGACATCGCAGTAGCGGAAGTAAACATCGGATCCTACTTGCCATTCCAGCCGCAACTCCTCCAGGTCCGGGAAACGCACCTGCCCAGGTTGTTGTCGAGGATCAAACTTCTTGCTCACAACGTCGTCATCCACCAAAAGCTTGAAATTCTGCTGAATCTCTACGGAACTGGCGAGTATGAGCCGTGGCCATCCCCCGGCCTCAGGAGAGCAGACGAACTTGTCTCCTTCCTTGACGACTCGGTAGATGTAGCTGATGTTTTTGGCCACCACGTTGCTGTAGTAGTATCGCGTTGTGGGAGGGCGAGGAGGCTGCGCGGAAAGAGAAGATAGTTCATTGAGATTCAGGAAGACTTTCCGGGGTAGCTCCCGTGAGATTTGCGAGGTAGCCATGAACATGGATGCACAAATGTCATGAACTTCTGTCTCAAATTGTTGAGCAATTGTGTGAATCGTCCATTGAGGAGGCAAATATTATATGGGCCCTCTGCCTGTGCGTGATCTTTACCACCCACCCAAACACAGGAGCAGAAGTTTATCCCTTAATTCATGTCTCTGGACCAAGGTAGCATAAGCTGCGCGCAACAGAAAGCTTCAGAAGGGCTTCTAGCAGCCGCACAACATGCAGGATGTTGAGTTACATGTGAGCAACGATGCTATCTCGAACCACCAGCAATGACGTGATTGAGCTATGAAGCAGAAGTGCGAGACAAGTTTGACGTCGCTGCGAAGCTGGTAGCAAGTTTAATAACGTCTGTCTGCAGTCAGTCGTTGCACCGCATCAGGATAAGCTTGGACGTTAGAACAAGCTGCCGGTCATTGTGGGGATTGATTTCGAATCCATACTTGGGCTTCCTTTAAATTCAAGCACTCAGCAAATAATGCAAGCTGACTTAACAGCTCAACTTCCCTGAAAGCTTCAGCTAGAGAACGTTATGAAAATTATGGGGACTGACAGTGAAGACGTGGCGGCTTATCTGCAACCTTACTCAACCGAGGATTCACTCAATCTCACAGGTTATATGGGTCTCAATACTTCGAAACCAAGGTAAGCTTGCTTTATGTATGTTCCACTCCAGAACCTCGGAAGAAGTCCTCACACCGAATGTACAAAACCAGGCAAGAGTAAGTGGGGTCCATGCGTCTTCAGTAGCCAGAGATGCAATCCAAATGTTAATAAAACTGTGATGAGATCATCAAGAAATTGTGTGTATTGCGTAGATCAGTTACTTGAGCAGATTTAAACGACTTGAGTCGTTAGCTTTGTAGAAACTGAGGAAATGAAACCGGAACCTGGTGGAGTAAGAGTTGTTTGTCAACTATGGGTTTACTTGCCACTTTTGCAATGCCCACTTTCACTTTTCGCTTCATCATTTTGATGCTTCCACTGATTCACCCTTTTTATGGTATTTTAGTGCTTGAAGGATTTGACATTAGTTTTTTGGTAATGAGCATACTTGTGTGTTTTGTTTATTTTGTGACTTTTCATGTTTGGATCCATTTTTCTGATGCTTTCTTTGTACACCCTTGTTGTGTGATTAATATGCACTGAATGGCACCCACATTGCCTGGGCAATTGGGCGTTCTGAGAACCCATTATATTAAATCGTTTGATGGTTAAAACTCAGCTTTGCAGTGTGTGCATTTTTTTTTTTTTTTTTTTTTTTTTTTTTGTCCTATGAGTTTTATATCTTTCTTTCATATTTTATATGAACACTTGAAACCTAAAATTTTGATGAGGTATTCTTAAAAATTCAATGAATTTTTAACTTCTAGTTCTTAGCATGCTAAATAGAAATTTTAAATGCATTCATAGGTAAAACTGTCACTTGGACGGTACTTTACTTAAAGTTTTTAGTACAATCCTGAAGTTTTCAAAAATCTGACATTTTGAAAAAATAGTTTAATATCTTCAGGATAATATGAGAAACTAATATGATTGAAATAGTTTTTATGATTATTTTATTTCCTTAACAACTTTTTTTATACACTAATTATTCACAACAAAATTTTCCGTATTTATTTATTTATTTCGTTATTTTGTTTCATTTTTTCAAAAATCTTAAGCTCCCACTTTCTAACTCTCTCACTTTAATTACTGTGATTTGTTACTTCTTTAAACATCTTGAAGATTTCAGTTCTACTTATTTTACAATTTTGTTTCATTGCCATATTAAGTTTCCATGTGCAAGTTTAGTACTGTTATGATATTACCTTTTTTATATTAAATGTTCTAGTTAACTTGAAAAGTCCTTAATTCGTCAATAAAGCGATATTTCAAGCAAAATAAAGATTCAAACAATAGCCTAACATGATACTCCTACTTTAGCTTAACTGAAGATAAAAATATAGCATAAAAAAGACAAACCCTGTTCTTCACATTTTAATGTAACAAGCGATGATCTTTCAAGCACTTCATCTCAAGTTATTGTCTGCAGAGGGTCTTATCAGTTAACCTCATCAACCAAAAACAATTTACAAAAGTATGATGATACATGCTGTTTGAGTACCTGCAAAGTTTCAACAAACTATTCGGACAGTTGCCCAATTTTTACTTCCAAAAATGATGCTTCTTCCTTAATTCCATAATTAAAATCTAGGTTTTAAAAACAAACAAGAAAACACACACTCACATATGATTCACAAAAGTACAAGCATCACCCAATTGGAATACAACCATCCAGAAGCTCCTTTATTCACATCCACATGAGCATTTCATCGTGTCAAAAATATACAGTTTCAATATGATAAACTAGTCCAGTGTTTCAAATAAATGCAAATGATCCAATTCCTCGTATGATAAAACCTAGATTTTAAAAAAAAGAAGAAAAAAGAAAGAAAAAAGAAAGAAAGAAAGAAAAGTTTTGGAGGGAAATGGATGGGTTCAGCAATTCCAGGCAACTTTGTTGCTCATATTGCTCTAACACTGGCAGCGATGGCTGCATTGGCATGTGGGTTCAATTGATGCAGCTCAGTAATGAGCTGACGACGCCGGAATTCAAGTCTAGCACGACGCAAATATAACGCTTACTCGCGTGAAATTGACGGAGAAAAGGTTCAAGCTCATGCAACCACAACCGTTTCGATGAACTGGTTGCATCGAAGACCGGAAACCATCGCTCCACTGATTTGAGTAGGAATTGCACGTTGATCGGGTGCTTGAGTGCTTATGAGACTGATGTGCTTACTGATGGATTCATGTTTGTGTTGCTGGTGGGAGCTGGAAGAGGTCTTGACGATTAGACGAGGTACAGTGGGCCAGATACTAGGCGCTGGGATCGATGATCATCGAGAAGCACATACTGCGACATGTTACAGAAACCATCTGGGGGTTGTCTTCGAGGTGTGGAGAGCTTGCAGCCACGGAAAGGCTCGCACCAAGTTCGGCGTTGGGAGGATTGTTGAACGGGCGAAGCGGAGGACTCATCGATGTACAAGGGTGCTGCTGCAGTGGGGGGAGATATCTGTTCGGAGGTGTCGCCGGCTGACTTGTGACCTGGTGCGAGAGCAGCAAGTTTGTGGTGATGGAGAGGGGTGAAGGCTGCTTTGCCGGTGATCGATTGCATGCCTGGTGATCTCGTGGGCTGCTTCCAGAATAGTAAGGTTTTCCAAGCGTGGCGTCCTCCAGGACCGCGGCCGAAACTATGGTTCGCGAGCGGGTATGGTGGAGCTTGAACGTTCTGATCGTCGTCAAATTTTTCTGTGTCGAATGATGCGTCCTGGCTTGAGGCGCTTGTCCTTGGGAAGAATTGTCCCCAGGCACTTGTCACGTCAGTCGCGGTTGACCTCAGTGGCGCAGCCGTGGATGCAGGGTCCCAGATTTCTAAATTCTCCTGTATCGCAGTTGAATTACACGTCACTGGTATTAAGGTCAACATCTTGGTACATTAGGTATATTTTTTTAAAATGACAGCGACTGTAATGCTGAAAAAATGCAGCCTCGGTTACCGACGGTATCATCATCATATATAAAAGTTGAATGAGCTCAAGCGGTACCCTTTTGCGACCCAAAAAAATGTATCATACAAAACACATACCTGCTCGTGGCCTGTTTCGTAAGGGGCGACGAGTGGGTGATTGATAATAAGCTCGAGGTTGGTTTTCAATGCTGGGGACTGCTGGAGGTTGACTGTGTGGATGGAGGCTCGAATATTGCAGCTCCTGTCTGCGCCGGTTTGCACTCCACCACTGGAGAATTCACACCATGAGTAACGCGACAGAGTTCAATTCACATTGTCAATGCTTCACCCATTAGTACAGATAATGTAAAGACTGTCAGAATCAGCGCCTAGGTTTGCGATCGGTGTGAAGAGCCAGCCCCTCACATTTTCGTTTCTTTCGAATCAGCAGGGTGACGTTGAGACATTCCACGCTCCTTTCTGTTCTTTCTCGGGCCTGCACAGTTGCTCAACCTATGACGAGAGCTCGAAACGCAATGCTACAATAAAGGTGGCCTCAGTTCTTCTTCAAGGGTGTAAAGAAAGACACAGAGAGCACTTGTTTTACGTCAATTACATACTGGAAGGGCTTAAGACCGTAATAAAATGCTACAAGTGACCCAGTTACCCAAAAAATAAACAAAGGAGGAGGTAGATGCATGATAAACAACGTGAGAAAACCTGCAAGTTCTAGAGCATTCATTACCAAGCCCTAAACGCCCCAAGTATTCCATGGGCGAAGAAAGCGTGTGACCTGTACACGCCATTCACCAAATATTATGTCGTTTTGGAATCGAAGAACACTAGCGACGACGGCTCACGAGGCAAGAGAGGATTCAATTGAATTAGGCGCCAAGGTTACTCACCATTTGAATGGCGCATACCCCAAGGCGCACTCCTGATGGATTGAAAATCTTATATAGTTCTAACAATTGAACTAGTTGATGGTCTGGCTGCAGAGGCTTCAGCTTCTTCACGCGTTGTCTTACAAATCTTTTAACAGCCGGCGGGAAAAGAGAGCATACTTCTACTTCGCAAACCTTAAGACGCACGTGCATGAAGCAAATTTCATTACCTCGGGTCCTTGAAGCCACATAAACTAGTTGAGATATTTATGCAGAAAAGCCTTTCCCCTCGTGATTCGATTGGAGGTAGTCCTTCTCCCTCCTGTTGTAGATCTATCCTGTTTGGTGCCCGATACAATTGCCACTAGTGATAAAACCCAAGAATGTAGTGTCCGAGTCCACAAAAGATGACGTTGGGAACTCTGTGAAGGCGTCGATAATTTGCTGCCTCACACAGACATATCTACATTCTTGGTCTTCCCCACGCTAGCACATCTGCGGATTTCAAAGCGCAAGACTGCACTTGCTAGACTCGCACACAATTCTCTGTCGCTCCGAAGGTGACCTCGCATCGAGCCAATATTTGCACGATCTGCGGGGAACCCGATGAATAGATGGTATGTACTAAAAATAAACAAACACGAGGAGTAGCTGAAGATACGCAACGAAATCGCAACAATCTAGCGAATCCACCAGTATACTCAGGCTGAGAAGTCTGCGAGAAGCACTTCGTGAGCCTCAACTACTGCTACAGTGGCAAGAAAATAATCCGAACTTTAGGAATCCATGAAATCCAAAATGGCGAAAAGCTGGCGACATTGTGCATGGCAGCAGACGAGGTTGCACCATTTATTATCTGACGGAACCGGTTCTCGGCTTCCAAACGCCTTGCAAATGAGCCATATATTCTCACTTGGACATCAAAAAGCATGGGCTGGCGAAAGTAGTCGTGAGGAGATCTAACGGCCTGTACAGATCGATCGGAAGTTCAAAACGTTCATTGGGCGGATTGTTCAAGGCAGGCAACGGCCCTCTGGAGACACCCTTCCCCGTGCACTCGTACCATGAACTCACGAGAGAAGACTATATATAAATATATGTGTGTGTGTGTGTGTGTGTGCATGTATAACTCCAGGTTAGGGACGTGGGTCGTTGCGGGGATGTCTACAACAACATCGATACTGAAACCACACTGAAGGATTGAATGTCGGGATGGATCCAAGTAATATGCGGCTGATGTGTGCGACACCATGTGTCGACGTCCCATTGACCACACACTGAATCGGTCCCCTAGATCCTCCGTCAATGCTAGAGGCAATGGTGCTGATGTTTCCCAACTGCTCCTGCTGCTGAATCGTGCTGAGTCGCTAAAACTGTTCTTTTTAGATGTAGGTGAATCTGAGAGTTTCTATATCAAGTAAAATTAGATGAATAATATTGTGTGTACATTGTTTATCCACTCAAGGGAGGTGCGACGGATATTGTCGCGACGTTTCACTCTGCTCTAGCCCTTATGGATGAATTGGTTAATTCTAATCTTGATTCCAACACGGCCGCTTAACCAAATCATCGCAAAGGTGGGGTTTCTCCTCCAAGTAGGCCAAGCAAGGGTAAGTGCTGGGCAAGCTTCGGCCTAGAGAGTGATTTTGTATGAATGTAGGCACGTATAGTGTATGTTGGGCAGCATTAAAACACGACTTTGTTATGAGCCACGAGTTGGCGTATGAAGTGGTAACGTATAGAGATGTGCTTCGTTCTGGAATAGAACCTGGTTGTGTCCACTAATGCTAACTCGGACTGATTGTCGCAGTAAACAAGAATAGGTTGTTTTAGGGTTTCGGCATAGTCGAGGTCAAAGAGCAAGAATTACTCATGGAGTTGAGCCTTGATTGTATAAAGCAGCGGAAGGTTGTTTGTCATAAATAGGGTATCTTTAACGTGAAGGGTGAGCACAGCAAAATCTGCTGCTTATTATAAGTAATAAACATTTCCATCCGCAATCGAATAGGTGAAGTTGATGGTGAGTAGGAATTAATTGATGATTTTGAACCATTTGCTAGGGAATTGCTTCAATCTGTAGGGATTTTTGCATAGTTTGTACATCAAGCTGGGGCGAGGGGGAGACACGCCCTCTAGTACTCGCATGTAGATTTCTTCATGCAAGACCTTATTGAGAAAGGTTGTCTTCTTGTCCATTTGATGGATGTGAAGATTCAACTGGGCAGCAAAGGCAAGGATAAGGCGGATCAATTGGATCCGCATAACTGGGGGGAAGGTTTTGTGATTGCTCGTTTTACTTATTCCGGAAGAAACCTCCCAGAATAAACCCATATAGGGGGATTCGAACATGGGGAATGACCATGTATATGAGCTCCAATTGTTAGGGTCATGCAATTAACCGCTACTGCTGAATGCTTACCATACCAAAGAATACTTAACTTTTCCTCCTACTGTCCACTCTCTCATATCAATACAATAACATCCACGACAACGATTTCAGTACCCTATGTAATTCACGAACACACAAGCATATCCCAAACCTTGGAACGAACAACTTCCAATCCACAGAATCTAATCAAGACAATTCCTTTGATTACAATTCCTCTCCACTAAACTTACAACCTTGCGATAAACAGTGACTGAAAACTTCTATACGTCCTCAATCTTTCACAACAATTGATAAACAATGATCTATAAACAACTTCGTAAATCAAACATTAATTCATTAAATCGATTCTCTTCACTAGAATCAACACTAGCACAAAAGAAACAAGAAAACTAATAAGAAGAGATAGCACCAAGCTTATCCCCGGCTCAGTACTATCGTAGTTTGGCATTTTCTTCCCCTCTCCCATCCTCCTTATACTACCCCGAGATACCAACTCCTATACTACAGTTGATAATTACTTTTCCTGACTATTCATCTATTCTACTTGCTGAATCACCTTTTCAGCAGTTATCTATCCCTGTTTACACTACACACTAGGTATCTACATTCTAAAAATAACTACTTATTCTACATAGTCCCACTCCCAACTATGCAACGTCCTCGCAAACACTCAATTGATACCTATCTAAAAATTATCTAACAAAACTCTACAAAAATTACGATCCCTCTGGCCTATCTAATTAATCAATTGCCACAGTATCTACTATTGGTTCCACCGATTCCGGTTCCAACTGCAAATCTTCATCCTCCTCCAATCCTTCCATCGGCTTCTGTCTCAAGTGAGCTGAAAGGTCTTCATTGCACTCACCCAGTTCACGGACTTGAGCTTCCAATTTCAGAATCTAGGCATCTCTCAATTCCAACTGGCGTTGAAAGTGACTCCTCTCTTCTGGAACTTCGAGAACTGGCAACGTCGATACTTGTACTTGACTAATATTGACTAAATCCTCTACCAATCTTGTCACCTCGACATTCAAGGCCTCAATTTCAGTCCTTAACCGCTCCGTTTCACATCTGTATTGGTCACTCAATACCAATTTCTCTTGCGCCAATAACTTGACCTTTTCTTGTTCCATTACCAACTGACCCTTTATTTTTTCCAGTTCCAAAATTGAATTACTGCAAGCCTGGAATAGTTCTTGCCTGTGGGTCTCCACCATGCATTCACTTTCTTGTGACTGGCTCTTCACTGTTAACTTTTATTTGGAACTACTACTCTCAAAAACTTAAGAAATACAAAAAAATGGCACTCCAGCCAATCCAAAATAACACCACAGAATGACTTTAACTGGTGCCCCACTCCTATTCTTTTACTACCTGGTGATAATACCAATATGTTATCCATACTGTCTGTGAAAGGTAATGAGAAGTAATCTTTCTTGGTGGCCGCATTAAGTTTTCAAAAATCCTGATAAATTTGGATTTTCCCATTCTTCTTCGACACCATCACGATTGGAGAAACCCACTCACTATTTGGTACACAGTAAATAAAACCAACCGCAAGAAGCTTGTCCAATTCCTCCTTCACCATGAGGGAATATTTAGGATTAAGGCGATGTTGTCTCTGCCGTACCGGTTTAGCGTTCTCCTCTAAAATGATATGATACTCATAGACTTCAGCGGGAACACATTTTAAATCATCATAAGTCCAAGCAAAAGCAAATTTATGATGCAAGAAAAATTCGGTCCAGCAGGTCAACTCTTGTTCCTTAATACCTTCGTAGACCTTAATCGTCAGAGGTTCTGCTGTGGTCGCCAAGTTGATAGTTTGACATAAAGGTGCAACGGTGATGTTCTATTTCAACCCCTGCGCTGGTTTAAAGTCAGTCGGTAAGTTCGACATGTATGAAGTACTGAATCCTATATCTAAGGCACTAACATGGTGCACATCATACTTGGTCATCCAATCGGTACTAACATAATCTGAGTTTTTCGAGTCCGTCGGGTATATCAAGTACTCCCCCCGACCTCCACATTGATACACTACTCCAAGGTGTAGTGCTGCCTCCACGAGCGCCTCCGTAATTGGTGCTACTACGTCGTCATCAGAGCTAAGCTCATTGTCTGACGTTAATTGAGATGCTGGCAATTGAGACTCCCCGTGATAGTATACTGGGTACATTTGTAACACCATTTTGTCTCTGCCCTTGCCAATTGTCAAAGTACCCCGACTCCAATCATTTTTGGCCTTTGCTTGATAAAACCAGGGTCGTCCCAATAAAATTAGAAACGATAAAGTCGAACGTTGTAATCGAAAGATGATATAGTCGATTTCATATACAATACTGGCAATTATAGTTTGAACACTTCGTAAGATACCCATTGGTTTAACCCGGCTATGATTGTCACGGCCATAATCATGTAAGCTAATAATTACATATAGGAATAGGTAGAAGTAAGTAAAAATAGATAAAAGTAAGTTAATTCTATAATATTTAATATAGAAGCTTCCTAGAAACTTCTTAGACGCTGCTTTGACTTCATAGGTATCTTTAATTGACTTTTTGGATTAGAAACGTGGTCAACAAGTTGGCCATGTGCCACACATGTTGTTAGCTTGAAGATTAAGCTAACTATGTGGCCCACACGTAGAAAAACTTCCCTTGTAAGTCAAGGCATGTGTCCTACAAAGTCAATACATATTGGAGGTCCTATAGAACGTCGCCACGTAGCCCCTAGTTAGATAGTATATATAGAGACAAGAGTGAAGGCTTCTTCACTCTTGTCAACTCCTTTCTTGCTTCTAGTCTAGTTTCAAGGGTCTCTAGTTTTCTTGTCTTTTGGCAATAGCCATTCTAGTTTCTCTTTTCAATATACATACTTATTATTCATATTTTGTTACTTTTCTTTGAGTGAAGGCTTACTTGTCTGAACTGTTTTTTCATCGAGTTCATATCCTTGACAGATTGACAAGAGTACACTTACAATATCAGAGCTTTGTTTTTCCTTGAGTAAGAGTGGATTACCCCTTTTTCTTGACAAGACATAAGCATATTAGAAGTTTGCGGATTACCCACTTCTAAACTGATATTATTCTTAGTATCTTCTTTGTTATCAAGTCTTTCTTTTCTTTTGTCTTAAGCAATATCAAACAAATTTTTCTTCTTAGTGTCATTATGGCAGAGCTTGTTGAAATGAAGAGTGAAATGGCACAAATGCAAGAGCAAATGAGGGAGTTAATGCTTGCGATGCATCAACTCAATTCACCAACACAGGAAAGAACAAGAATAGCAGAAAGTTGGGATATAGAGATGATCGAAGCTGCTTCAACATCTACAACAAATCACGTTCTTTCTCCAATTGTACAACACCCTATAAGCACTAGAGAACCAAGAATTGCCTTACCTGAGAAATTTGATGGTATGAGATCAAAGTTTCGAGGGTTCATCAATCAAGTACAATTGGCAATTGAACTTCAACCGCAAAGCTATCCAACTCCAGGATCACAAGTCAGGTTTATTGGCACTCTACTTTCTGGTTCTGCATTATCGTGGTTTTCGTCTTTTCTTGAACAACGAAATCCAATATTGGACAATTTGGAAGCTT